CCTTGCCAGGTCCTGCAAGGAAATTCATGGCAGTCCCTGCTTTCAAGGGCCTAAAGGCAAGCAGGCAGCAGATTAAATTGCCACCTCTTTTCTCTAAACCCTCTGTCCCAAACTGTCCTGAGCAGGCAAGAGCCAAATTGGCAGCTTCTCCCCAGGTGACATTACCTGGTGCCAGCTCCCTTGTGCTCTTTGTGTCTGTCATGCATCTAGAAAGCAGTTTCTCTCGGGAAATATTTGCAGTTTTATTTTGCACTCCTTAAACCTTATTGTGATGACAGCTTTGCTCCTGTCATTAACAAAATTTGGCAGTGTCTGCACCTTCAGATGCATTTGTGCTGTGAAGGAAAGTGTGCTGATCCCAGAGGGTTTCTCCTCTCCCAGCAGGTACATGTTGCTCATTCCTTCCCCTTGCCATCCCTGACTGTGAATGGTTGTGTGGCAGTGTCCTCTTGACACAATGGATGCTGGCACAGCTTGGTTTCCTCTGCTCACCTTCTGAGCCCCGTTTCTTGACATCAGCTTCTCTCACTGGGGCTTTGAGTTTGTCTGCTCTCAAGACAAATAGAAATATGTGGAAGGGAGTCCTGACTTCCCATTCTGCTGTTTATTCTTAAGTCAAGGTTGTAGTTTAGAAGTTGGCTTTCAGTGACAGCTCCAGCATGTGCTGGCCTCCAGTTCTGTCTCATTCCTGTCTGACTGCCTGGCACAAATATTTGTGCTGGCGTGAAATCAGGGATGGGAACACGTTTGGGTGTAGGGAGAAGACAGATTTGCTTTCTTCAGCCACAGCAGCAGCTAACATTTGCTAAAGGTTTTCTGTCAAACCGGCAGCCTGTGTGTGCTCAGATAAATCAGCATGTGCAGCAGCCTGAGCCTGAGAGGATGTGCTCAGCTGCACTGGGGCTGCTGGGGAGGGCATCTGCACATGGGAGTGCTGGCAGAGGGCAGAAGGGAAGAGCTGGCCTCTGGGAGGGTGGGGTGCTGCTGGCAGGACTGGGGGAGCTGGTGGACTGGGAGCCCACAGCTGGCTTGGAGGATGGCAGCTCTGGCTCTGGCAGCCTGGCAGGCAAAGAGCAGGAGAAGGAGGGTGCTGCAGGCTCAGACTGGGGGTAGAGCAGTGGCATCTGGGAGTAGAGGTGGCAACCCACATCTGTAGGGCAGTTTGGTGGCACTAAATACAGTCAGCAAGGTCAGAGACTTGTGGGTAAGTTTAACCTGTTTCTGCTCCAGTGATGTCCTGGCTTGTGGAGATGTTGGGTGCTCGTATTTCCAATCCAAGCTTACTGGTGTGATGCATTAATGAGACAAAATGAGGTTTGTGTCTCCCCTCCATGCCTCACGCTGGGCTGTGATTCTCTAGTAAGCACTCTTCCTTCAGGTGATAAGGCAAAACCTGAAGGTTGAAAGTTCAGCCTCATGCCCCATGGGATCAGGAGAGCAGATACAAAGGTTGGCCTTCCTGGAGAAAGCCTCACTGTCTGATTTGTGTGGGAGATGTATGGCAAGGCAGGGGAGAAAAATAGCACCACTTTGGTGGCTTGGGCCATGAGGACCAGATACATCCAGGATTGCATTGTGGTACTTCTAGTGTGGCTGTTCTGTCACTGTCTGGAGCTGACTTTTGGGAGGTGAGAAAAGGGAAAGGCAGGACTGAGGAGGCTCCTGAGCCATTTATGTGTCAGCATGAGCTTCGGGCCATTTGCACCGCTTCGGTGTGCGTGTGGCTCTGAAACTAATTTGCCTGATCATTTTAATAAATGTAAAAGGGATGTCCTGGTGTGCAAGTAATGGGGCATTAATCCATGCCTAGCTGTGTTAACAGCACTCTAGGAAGGAAATACTCTCATGCTGTTCTCACTCTCTTAATTATGGTATGTTCAATTTAGGATCCCCTTCCATGAAGGCTGCTCAGCCTCTGGCTTTCAGGTGGCTCTCTGGTGACTCTTATTTCACTTCTTAAACCAGTTTCCTCCCAGTTCCTCAGCTCGTTTTATCATGCAGATTCCCAGTTCCAGCAGTGCCATTGTCCTGATGTTTAACCATACAAAAACTTTCTGAGGCATAGTACCTTTTTGGTGCTGCTGACTTGTCTGCTGCCCCAATGCAGGTCCTGATGGCAGATTTCCTAGGAAGATGCAAACTCTGCTCCCTGATACTTCTCCCACAGGAAGGCTTGGAGCTACACCCTGCTTGGCTGCAGATGCTTGCCAGCTTTTATGTGCAGTTTTTGGCTCCTGAGAGCACTGTGTTCCTGGGAAAATATACTTAGGTCTTTATTTAATCTCTTTCATTTCTAGGTTAAATGTATAATGTTGTTCTGGACTTGTTTTTTAAATGTCCTAGAAAATTCCCAGCATTCTCTTCCCAGCCAGTTTCCCCCCCATCTTAGACTGCAGAAGGGTAGCAGCTCTTTTCCAGCCCTGGAAGTGAGTGGGGTCTGGCTCAGCTCAGAAACTCCCTGACCAGGCCACGGAAGGGTTCATCATTCACCTTTTTTAAGGGACTCAGGGAGTTCTGTAGATTACAGCAAAGTGGTCAGATAGAGCTTGGGGTGACTTAGGGTTTGTTTTGCAAATGATCATTCGTTGGAGCTCTGTTTAAACAAACAGAGCTCAAATAAGCTTTCCACTTCATTGCATTAAAATCCCTTAATTCATTAAAATCCCCTGGCCACAGACATTCAGGCCTCTGCAGTGCCAGGTGCTGTTTAAACAGTTATCAAGTGCTGGTGTCTGCTGTAAAATGATCACATTGTTCGCTTCCCGTCGCTCGTCCGCGAGTTGAGTGGCTTTTGTTAGGGGAGATGATACTAGTCCTGGTATTTGCTGGCTGTACAGCCAGCCCCAAGGAAACCTGTAACTTTGCCCAGTTTTAAACCCAGGAAGGTTGTTTTTGCCCTGTCTTGCTGTGCAGCCGCAGCAGGAGCATCTGCTCCCTGGTGGGAAGCAGCAGCAGTTTTCCAGCTGGATCAGACAGCTGTGGAAGACTATATTTACTGGGCAGCTGGGGAGCTGAAGCAAAAGTCAAAAGAAAAAAAGGCCAGAAAGAAATAAACTCAGCTGTCCCAAGCCTCTCTTGGTGCAGAGGGACTCCATTGCCCTACTTGTGTCAGCAGGTAAGAAACAGCCCTGTGATGTATTTGTGTGTCCATCTTGGTCTCTCACTCTTTTGGCTACCTGGCTGTGCTGAATATTGGCAGCCTTGCTGTCTTTCCTTGCTGTTGCCCTTTGTGGTGGATGTCTGTCCTCCTGAATGCCCCTCTGCATGGAAGGGTGCAGCAGAGGCAACAAGGGGGATGTTTTGCCAGAGCTTGGAGCAGGCTGTCAGGACCACTTGGTGCAGGTATTTTGTCAGGCCTGTCTTGATAACACAAGTTAATTGAATGTGTAGACATTATCAAGTGAGTTTTCGTGATTCACAACTTGTTTATGACAGGGTTACAGGCTTTCAGCTACTGGTCTTCCTATATTTTTATATTTTTGTCTTATTCTGGTTAATTTGATAGAAAATTAGATTAACCTAAACCAAGCTGCTCTTGTGGACATGCGTATAAAGCACATGTAATGAAGGGTGTAAGTGGTTTTCCCTTGAAAAGTGCAGACTTAGCTGATCTGGAGCTTTTTAAGATCTGCAGCCACAGATCAGTTGGGATCAGGTGAACTGTCTGAAGAAGGTATAACAGCATAGTGCAGTGGGTGAGGTTTGTGTGCAGTGTTTTGAGGAGGAATGCCTTTCCTTAGGGAGCTCCCTGTGCTGGTCTCTCACAGCTCTAGTTGAATGTGGGGCTGCAGAAAAGGCAGTTTCAGTCTCATGTTGTTCAAGAGTGGGACTGTACAAATGATTTCATGTGGTCCTATCCTTGGCACTTGATATAAAAGGAGGGTGACCTGAACTCCTTCCCATACCTGTTTGCACCTTCACTAGCTCTTCACACTTTCAGGGACCTTCTCTTCTCAGGAATGCACTGAGAGCCAGAGGTATCTCCAGAGCAGAAGTGCTGGCCTGTAAGCCCTTCTGTTGGATGTTAGATTCTGTGTGGCTTAGGAAATCTGCAGTACAGGAGCAAATTTCATTCCAGAGGGAAAGGGCAAAGGTACTTCCTTTGCTTCTGGCTCAGCATCCAGGTGGCAAGTGAAAGGGAAGAGGTAGGGAGTTGGCTGAATACTGCTGAGACACGTGCAGAGAGCATAGGGCATCTGGTTCCCATGCTGCAGGTGAGGAGATGAAGGCATCTCCAGAAAGCTGAAAGTTGTGGCCACTTCTGAAATTTTCTCTGGTGTCCAGATTTCTTTGTGGGGTGACTTGTAACAGCTCTCATTAAACAGTAACAATTAAGAGTCTTAGAACTGACTCCTGCAGTCTGGCAGAGCTGAAAGGAGCAGTACAAAGAGCAAAGTGGCATCAGTAGCTTGGGGAGGGAGAGGCATTGCTTAAAAAGCAGTATTGGCACAAGACTGAACATGGACTGTCTGTTTAAGCTTGGAAATAGGGGAAGGAAAGTAACCTCTGGAGGGGCAGTGTTTTGAAGGCTGTCCTTTGGACACAGCATGTGTATGTTGAAGGGAGGTGCTAAAAGAGTCTTGTGATGACACTTGACTCTCTTGGGCTGGCTGGGTGGACCTGGAGAGGGTTGGGGATGTGCATGGTATGGTGTGAAACGCTCTCTGAAGTTGGAGAGAAGTGACAGACATGGCTGTCCTGGCTTCTGGGCAGAGCTTGTGCCCTGCCTGGCTGCTGCCCTTCCTCATATGCTGCTAGAGCCTGATGACCTTGGCAACTCTTCCCTCCATATGTCCTTGTATATTTATATTTACAGACATACATTTATAAGGCTCCCTCTGGAGCTCAGTCTCCTCTTTGAGGAGATCAGGTGCTCCCTTAAGTCACTTGTGCCTCAGCTGTCCTGACCCTACAGCCTGCCTGCCAAGGAGCCCCTGAGCTTTAAGGAGAGTGTAAGTGTCTCAACTTTGTGTTCTTGGTGTCTTTCTGTCCTTTCCCAGGAGGAAACTGAAGTGAGAAAGACATAACTGAAAAAGAACGATTGGAAGGAACAGATTCATTTCTCAACAAGATCAAGTTTGAATTAAATGGCTGATAAACAGATCAGGTAACTTTTTTTTTTTTTAATTGTGCTTTAGGTTTTTCTTTTAAAATCTTTCAAACTTATTTCCATTTGGGATCCAGGAGGTTGGAGGAAATCACCTGATCACCTCTTCCAGCCTTTAATGGTTTTGATTCTTCTTCTCCTTTCTTACCTGCTTTTTTTGAACCTTCTCTTATTTTGTGTGTCTGCCATGTTGTCACATCTCTGCTTTCCTTAGTTCTTTTTTCTCATTGCCTTTTTCTTTCTACTCTCTGCTTTCTATGCTGCATGAGTCTGTTCCTTTTTGTTTCTTCTTTCAAAGGTCACCCTGACCTGCTGACTTCAGCTGCTGGCATCAAGGGAGCAAAGCCAGGTCCTTGACCAGCCAAGGATGCAGTACTTGTGAAGACAAAGTCCACGTAGCCTTGTGCAGCCTTGTGCAGCCTTGTGCCCTTACTCTACAGAGTCAAGGCTTGAGTGATAGCAGGAATATGAAGTACCAACAATGATTAAGGACACTTATGTGCACAGTGGAAACTTAAGAGTATTGGTTCTGGTAAAGGCTGGATTTGAGTCTTCCCTGGAAATGAACTGGGATTCATTTCCTGGAAAGACACAGTTCTACCCTTTGCTTCCTAACAGCTGTGTCAGGTGGATCTGCACAGTCCTCCATGTGGATTTAACTTTTCGCTGCTTGTGAAGTTGCCCCAGCTAAGTGACTCCTACATGCTGTGGAATTCCTGTGGGGTTTTTCATGTTGCTTTTCTAACATCTACTTTTCCAGGTTAAAAGCTCAGGACAGGTGGGGTGAGTGGGTGAATGAAACATGCAGACAAAGGGACAGGACTTGACAGTCCCTGAATGCTGCAGGCAAGAGGGCTGTCCCTTCTTAGCATTTGCCATGATTAGGATATCTTCCTGTACGCCTGTCTTCTGCAAAAGTAAACAATCCTGAGCTGTGCTGATAAAAATACAGCATTGTGGAATGTTTGTGTGCCAAGATTTGGCCATCATCCGCTACCCAATTTGGAGAGCACTTGAAACTCTTCCAACATACCCATGAAGGGCATGCAGAGATTCACCTCCATGGAGCCTGGCAGGTCTATGTTCCCCATAACCTCAGCAAAGCAAAATGATCAGATGTCTGTGGGTGTTTGACTTGGTATTTTGAAAGAAGTGGAGATGTGTCCTACAAGAGGAGATGTGTCCTACAAGATGTGCCCTGGCTCCTCCAGTGTGCTCTTGGGGGTGTGAGCAGGACTTACTGGCTACAGGGACTAGTTAAAAGGGCTGAGGAGGAGCAGTAGAAGAGGACAACTGGGATGCCTTTGTATCCCTTCTTGTATTAAACTGAGCAGATGCCTTCATTTGCATGCTAGCCAGCATTGTCCCCATTTCACTAAGCCCTGCACACATAGGTAGTGAGAGGCAGTAGCTGTGCAGAAGCTAAATAGGACAGAGAGACCAGGCACAGTGGATTCTTATCCCTTGAGAGAGCAGAAAGCACTGATGTGTGAAGTGGGATGACTCAGTCACAGGGGAAATAGCTTTTGATTCAGGTGCAATGGTCTTTGTCTCATGTTCTTCTCTGTGCCTCAAATGCCTCACCTCTCCTGCTTTGCTAATCTCTCCAGTCGATGGGACCACATGTCCGCAGTGGTCACAGGCAGCCAAGCCAAGGAGATTTGTTTCTGACACCCCTTAGTAGAACAAGAATGATAGAAAACACTAAAATCAACAGCCGTGGTTTGCTGCGTGGTGAGATCAAGGGCACTGCATTTCTGCAGCAGTGCACGTGGAACTTAATCTCAGTGTCTCGTTGGATACCGCTCCATGTCCACCCCTTCTAGTTTTCCCCTGCAGTGTTCATGGCTAGATTCAGGTGTGATGGGAGTCTTGAGCAAGGGTTTTTCTCCCACAGGCAGAGGGAGAGGCTGTCTGCAGCCTCAAATTTTTGCTTGCTCAGACACATCAGATGATTCCCCTTTACTGCTGGGCTTTGGGCTCAAATTGGGGAATCTCTTGCACTTACAGTAGCAGCAGGCAGGACCTTTGTGTCTGTGTCTCAGTCCCACCTGATATAAACCCTGGGTTGATTTCACTGTTGGAACAAGTTGAGAAAAGCAGGTGTTTGCTTGTCCCAGGTGTTTCAGGGACACTTAGAGAAGTGATGACAGTGCTGAGGCTGGAAGGGGGCACTGGTTGTGCCTCACAGTCTGTGACCTGCCAACAGTGACTTCAGAGCTGAATTTGGGGAGGCTGAGGTAATCCTGTCTTCAAATACCTTCCTTGTCATGGTGTCTCCATCCTGGGACACTTCTATCTGGTCTCTAACCTCCTCCTCCAGGGTGACTGGGTGAGATAAGGAGAACACAATGATATGAAGCTTACTGTTTGAAGTTTTCCCATGTCCTGAGAACAAGTTCAGTGTAGGAGTTTGCAGGCAAATCTATTCCATTCCCAGACTGTGGCATGAAGATCCCTGAGGCAACAGTCTGGAGTTGGTGAGGTCTGAAAGTCTGGCTCTGCACTGAGCTTGTACACTGATTTGGGCCTGCCTTCCTGAAGTACTGTGCTGATTTAATCTCAGTCAGCACTGTCTAGTTTGGAGTTGTAGGCTGAGCTCAGATCTCTCTGCCTATCCTTGGCACCTCTTCTTCCAGCTGTGCCAGCCCCGGGGTTGTGTGTGTGTTATATTGGCAGGTGTTGAGGAGGAAGGAGCTTTGGGTGCAGGACAGCAGAGGCTGAAAGGAGTGTGTCAAGGTATGTCAGTATGTCAGTCCTGAGGTGGCAAGATCATGCTTAGCCCTTGTGGACAAAGTCTTTTATATTTTTTCCATCCCTCATTTGTCTACTTTCCTCAGGGACCCTTCAAGTTGAAATCTGGATTCTCCAATCCTGCCTTTCCCTCAAGCATGGCTGTTTATTGATCCTCTCTGCATTTGCCCCTTGATGCAGATTGCTCTGAAGTGCTGTTGGGGGGAAGATGTTTGCAGGGCTTCACCCCACTGTGCCTTGGCCAGCCTCAGCACTGCTGCCTCTGGAGGGTAATGCAGTCTGTCCCCCATCCAGAGCAGCAAGTCACCACCATGAAAGGCAGTGTGCCAGTTCCCCCAGGGGGAGGATAGGCCTTGCAGGCTCACCCAGCTGCAGTCTAGGAGTGCTGTCGGCCACCAGCTTAATATCTGACACATCCTGTTTTCAGGGAGCCATATCCTGTGCTTATTGGAGGGGGCTGACTCAAACAGGCTTTCTTTGTCTCTGTGTGCAGTGGTTTATTGAGCATGTAAGTGCAGGACATTTTTCTTAATTGAATTTGCTGGGAACCCATGTTTAGCTGATGTGGCTTTCGCTCAGTGCCACTTGCAGGAATTCTCAGTGGGAACAGAGTGGGGAGTGGAAAAAGCCCCGTGCTTCGGGAGCACGTGCAGCGAGCCAGGTTTTGGTTTCCCCCAGAGGTATGAGCTCACGTCTCCACATCTGCAGCCCTGCAGGCTGCCAGCCCGGTGGCTTTGCTGGGCTGCTGCTTTGTGTGTGTTCCCCTGGCCCTGGGAGATGGGTCTGGAAGCAGTTTCCCATGGCTGCAGCCATCTGCTCCGTGGCTGCCAGCTGGGTGCTTCTGCTGGGCCATTCCCACATGATGGTAGCAGCTGATGTATCACGACCCTCTCATTAGCTGTGGATCTGACTGTGGTGCAGGAAAGTGTTTGTCAGTAAACCTGCTGGCTTGGATGCCGTCAGGCCCTAGCTGAAGGCTGTCCGCATGGTGGATGGTCCAGCACTCAGTCTTTTCTCCTCTAGGGACAACAGAAATCCCCATGTCCTGGGCAACAGGATTTTTTCCTGCTCCTGATAATGTGTGGGTTAGGTGTTTGGCTCCACTCCACTCATCAGTGGTTTGTGCTGATGGTATGTGCTGCTTTCTCTGCCTCTCCATATGCACAGCAGGAACCAAGCTTTGCTTTGTGGAAGAGCTTCCTTTGTGCTGGGGGGGACAGCCTTGTCTCACAGCGATGCATTAACTCTGGTCACACAAAAGTCCTCAGCTCTTTGCTCTTTCCCTTCCCTGATATTACCCAGTGCTAAGACATCTGTTTCTCTCTATCTCATCCCCTTGCAGTTTACCTGCCAAGCTGATCAATGGAGGGATAGCTGGGCTGATCGGGGTCACCTGTGTATTTCCCATTGACCTGGCAAAAACTCGCCTGCAGAACCAGCAGAATGGCCAACGGATGTACAGCAGCCTGTGAGTACTGCCCACACGGGCACCATCCCTCGGGGCTTTCCACAGGAGTCCTTGCACTTTGTTGCCTCTTTCAGGTGAGCTCAGCACCTCTAGGAACTGGGCTGTTCTCAGGAAAGCCAGGGGACAGTCTGGAGCCAAGCTGTGCTAGAGCAGATAAAGCAAGTAGGGCAGCTCTTGAGGCTGCTGAGCTGAGCAGGAGAGTCCTCTGCAGGGGCACATCTGTTTGCATCCCTGGCTTGGGAGCAGTGTATTCACTACTGCCAGGGCTCAGAACCAAACCACAAGGAATCCCAATCACCTGATCCCAAACACAAGGAGTCTGCTGAGCTGGTCAGGTGCCTGAGGGAGTTTCTGCCTCTGTTCTGTTTCTATTGCTGTGATATTGGAGATCCTTCCTTTGCTGTGTCAGTTTTAAAAAGAGGAAGCAGTTGCTCATTCCCAGTCTAGAGCATTGCATGTGGACCTTTTGAAGGATCACAGGCTGACACATGCTATAGTTAGACCAGCCATCCGCTGTCCAGAAGAACCCCAGCTACTGCACCTGTAGGAAAAGAAGGCATGAGCGTATGCAGCCCACCAAATTCACTTGGAGTTTGTGTCGAGCGCTTAGGGCTCCGTATCTCCTGTGAGAATGGGTACCACACTTAGCACAAGATGCTTTATCCTGGGAACCAGAAACAGGCCTTAGTTTTCCAAAAGAATTTGTGGTATTGAGGGGAAGAAGGGACTGGGACTGGTGAGGTATGTCCTGTCCTCCTACCACTTGGTTTAGAACTAGTGTAACCTGATCCCTGCTCCTCCACACCATCTTTTCCTCTTTCCTGCCCAGGAGAATTTGAGGCAGAGGGGGAATAGGACGGAAATGCTGTCTCTGCTGATGGCTTTAGTGTCTGTGCCTCCTTGCTCTAGCTGATAACATGAGCTTAGGCTGTAGCTCTGGTGCTTCCCTTGGTAGTTCCTGTGCTCTCTGCTCCCTCCTGCACTGTCAGTGTGCCATGACTTTTTGGCAGGATGTGGCCGCCCGTATTGCTTTGCATCCCCTTTTGTTGTGTCCTGCTCCTGCTGTAGATTGCTTCACCTCCCTGAGGATCATTTACCCTTGTGACCTGACAGCAGGAAGAGTTTAAGCAGGTTGAAGAACTTGTAGGCACTCCTTGGGGCTGCATGCCAGGATGTCTCATGCCTGGAAGGGAGCTTGGTAGGAGAGAGGCTTTAACCTCCAGCAGTCAAGTGCAAGTCAGCTCCATAGCCAGGAATTGCAGTGAGATCAGGAGCAGTTAAGGAATACATAAGATTTACACTGTATATTTGAACTGGCTGCTTCTAAGAACAGGAAGGGCTGAGCTTTCCTAAGAAAGTTTCCCCTGTCACACCAGCTTTTTTTTCTGGAAATGCTGTGTGCCCATCAGTACTAGATGTTCCTGATTACACCAATTACCTGGTGTCTGCTGAACACCCAAGAAAGGCAGCAAGTTCCTTTAAAATGTTGGCTCCCTTACTTTAAGATAGTATGCCTTACTTATGCTCAAGAAATCTTTGGCATCAGGGGAACCTTTCACTTTAACAAGACAAAGACACTAAAGGACTTCTGAGGGATGGAGAGAGCTTGGCTTTTGGGCTGTGCTGCCCCAGGTGTGTTACTGTGGGGGTTTCATTTTAGTATAATTTTAGTTGGCTGTTGGCTCCCTTTTTCCAGGGAGAGAAGAACACTGGATGTGGTCTTGGCTGCGTCTTGTTCTGCTGCAGCTTGAGGGGCTTTCAGTGACATGCAAGCTCTATCCTGATGAAGCAGGGCTGCATCAATATGGTGGGGAGGAGCTCTTCTCACTCCTCTCCCTGCTGCAGCATCACTGGCTCGGGGAAAATGTGTTGCCTCCAGCACTGCAGTGTGAGAACTTGACAGGAGGGATAGGAGTGAGGTGCACTGAGATTTCTGGGGCTTGCAGATGAGTTGGAGGGGCTGCTCAGAAGGAGAGGAGTATGTGCAAGTTGCAGGGGCTAGGGTGGAATGTGTGAAAGATGAGATGCCAAAGGATTCAAGGAGTCCCAGCTGAGGGGAAACTCATTGCCATGACTGGTAGCAATGCAGGATGGGCTCTTCACAAATAACTCTAGAACAGTCTTTGCCCATGGCCATAAAGCCCTCAAGGAAGCTTTGTATTTCCTTCTCTTCCACCTCAGCACTACTGCAGAGCTGAGAAGAAGTTTACTCCTTGAAAATGCATTTGTGTTTTAATCAGCCACACTTCTCTTATTACTACTTAAAAGAGTCTTTTATTCCTTAAATTATGTACACATACATGCGTGTGCACCTCTCCTTTCCTGTATGTCTAGAGCTAGTACCTGTCTCTTTCCAAAGATCCTAAAGGCAGCATTCCAGCTTCATGCAGCTGTGGTCCAGAGAGGGAAACTGCCAGGGAATCTATTCAGCTATCCTGAACTGTGACTTTGGATTTGCTAGGGGTGTGTGTCTCTGTGCCTTCAAAAGCCAGTGCTCTGCAGGGTTTTCCCATTTGTAGTAAATGTGTTTGCAACAAGGAAAGTGACAGTTTTCCCCTTGGAGCACAGTTTTCCCCTTGGAGCAGGGTACCCTGCCACGCTGTCCTCAGGGCAAGAGCCCGAGTGTTTGCTGCCTGCTGTGGGACTTGATGTGTTAAAAGTGCATGTTTTAATCTTCGTGGGAGGCCACAGATGACTGAGTGTTCAGGTCATCTCATCTTTGTGTGCCTCGTGTCAAATTTCACTGAGTAAGACAAACAAGTCAGCATGGGGGGTTTGACCCCCCTCATTTCCCTTCCAGAGCTGGATTTTAAAATGTGCCCATGGGGACCTGCTTGTTAGAGCATTTCATGTGCATTTGCCACAGGGGACCCTGGATAAACAGCCCTTGCAGTGACACTTTTCCCTTTTGTGTTTCTAGAAAGCAGACAGTGTGTGCAGGATGAGCCAGGGGTTTCAAAGCCCCTGTGACTCAGGGGTTGAAATGGGACTCGGGTTGAAATGGAACTCAGGTTGAAATGGGACTGAGGGGGCGAAATGGGACTGAGGGGGCGAAATGGGACTCAGGCTTGAACAACGGCACATTCAGAGGCTGACGTGGTTCCCATCTCAGCTGAGGGTTTTGCTGACAGAATGTAAATGGAAACCACTCCAAGAAATTTGTTTGTTTTTCTCTGCACTCACCCAGCTTTGAGGTGCTGTGGTTGATCTCCCTCTGTTGTGTTTGCAGGTCTGACTGCCTCATTAAAACGATTCGGTCGGAAGGCTACTTTGGCATGTACCGAGGTGAGTAGAGCTGACTCAGGCACAGCACAGCTTTTGCGTTGGAAGCACTGGTGCGTAAGTAGGAGGAAAAGCTCTGTTCTCTGGCATATAAAGCAATAACCTGGCAATATCCTCGGAGGTTGAACAGTGCAGCTGTTTCTAAAATAAACTCCATGCAGGTGTCTATTCAGATACCTACCACTGAGGACTTGAGTCCTCCAAATGACTGTTTTGGTGTTAAACCTTACCACTTAGTGAATTTCATCATTACTAGCGGTTTAAGTGAAGCTGATGGACTTTGTGTCAGGACTGTATATTATATTTCCCAGCTTGGGCATGGTAGCTTTTGACAGAGGGGCAGTAGCAAACCAGCTCTTGAAGTTCTGTGGTTAATGATTGAATTTATGTCAAAACCCTCCACCTTGGTCAGGCCTGCTGTCTTAAGCATGCCTAAGTACCCTGTTCAAGCATCAAGACAAGCTACAATTAAAAAAAAAATAATTAAAATAACCTGCTCTCCAAAAAAACTCTCTTGGGATGGTAAGAAAATTAGAGGTTGGCTCAGGGTGGAGCTTCACCTGTTTGGTTGCTTTGTGCTGACCTGCTTGAAATCTCTTGGCTCCTTGGCTCAGGCTGTCTATTACAGCAGTGAGTTCCTCAGCCGACATGATGCCTTTTATAATTTAAACACAAAATCCCTGTAAGTTTTTAAAGATTTTGAGGAGAGGAGGCCAGCAGGCCAAATTCTGACTTTACTTGTAGCAGAGGAAAACATGGAATACCTTCTTGGCTTGCAGCATGCTCCAGCTGGCTTCATTGACCCTGAGCTCTGGTTCATTCTGTATCCTGATAGTCACCTGCCTGCACATGCAGTTTTTATCTGGGTGCTTAGATAGCATTCTTGGTGGCACTCAGTCCCTGATAAAGCCTGGTTCAAGTTATGCTGCTGTGATTAAGTTGAGTCCTTGCTCTTTGTTTTTTCAAGCGGAAGTCCAAAGATGCTGGCACCTTGCTCTTGGCACATGTAGTGTTCCTTGGTGCTTCTTCCCTGCTCCTAAGGAAACACAGGCATTGTGGCTGGCCAGCCCAGGAGCAGGCATTGGATGTTGAGGCAGAGTCTCTTGCCCAACTTCCTGGTGGGCGTTTCAGGGGAGTGTGGTGGATGGCAGGGATGGATTGGCTGCTTTGCATCAGCTTTCCTGGGAGCAGGCAACAAGACAAATAACCTCAAGGAACCCTGGCAAGCTCCATCCTCAATGCTAGCTATGACGTGTTCCCCTTTGATTTTTTCCAGAATCCGGCTGCTGCTGTGTTCCTAGCCAGGATTTTGAGCTTGTGTTAACTTTGGCTGTAAATGTGCCCTGGCAGGCTGCTTGGCAGGAGGCAGAAGGAGGAAGCTGGTTGGGGAAACTTACAGGGGAGACTGTAGGACCAAGAGTTTTCGTGAGAATCAGGACTTTTGGGAGAGACAGCTTAGTCCTTTAAGGCTTAGAGTGGTAGAGAGGATGTGGATCTCCAGGCCACTTGTCATCCCCAAGCAGAAGGGTACAGAGGGTTTTGCATACCTCTTTCTTTTTCCGACCTTTCCCAAGTCTGCTCAGCTTGGTCCATGTCTCTAACTCTGTTCAGGGTGCTGAGAGTTGATTGAAATTACTTCTATTAAATAGGGAGCTGGGTTAGAGAGGCCTTTTTTTAATAGCTCCAGCTCCTTCCAGAAAATTACAGATGCTTCAGCATGGCCATGGTGCAAATGTGAGTAGTCCCAAGAGCAGCAATCCTGGTCCCTGTGCCTCAGTTCTGTGAGCTGACATGAGCAGACCTTCCCACCCTCTTAGGGAGAGGGTTGGTGGGTAAAATATATCCAAGGTCCATGAAGATTGTGTGAGTTCTTTTCTGGAAAGAAGGTAAAGAGATATCTCAGCCTTGCAGACAGAGAAAGATGGAAATCAGGTGGTAGGATTGGTTCCTGCTCCTTCCAGCTGTCCTAGTTCCCCAGCAGAATTTGCTGAATGACTCACAAGCTCCTATTTGCAGGCTTTAAGCTGAAATTGGGAGGATTATATCTTAATGTGCTAAAGTAGCAGCTGCTGCTCCCTATGGAGGAGTCACAAGCACATCACTTGTCCCTGCAGATCCTTTGGCCTCTGTCAGAGGACAGAAAGGGTTTGTTTGGGTACAGCCATTCCTGCTGGGGTGACTTCAGGGCTTCTTCATGTGTGAATCAAATCTCCTCAGTGCAGACAGGAGAGTGGCTTGTGTTTGTAGGATGCTTTTCTGCAAATCGCCTCTTAATGTATTTGTGTGAGCAAACAGCTTTTGCTTTGTATGAGTAGCCCATAGCAAACTGTGTGATGTATAAGGCAATCCCAACATTTCTCTCAAGTTCTTCCCCAGTATTTACAGGGATTCTTGGATTTGTTTGGGACAGGAAGAAGAGGAGTTCCCTTTGTTTTTTCCTATAATGTCTGTATAGCAGCAGTGCCTTGATGCTGGATGGTGCTGTCCAGCCCTGTCTGTGCTCAAGGAATTGATGGTGTGCAGCCTTAAAACATGATGCCAAGAATCCATAGTGCCTGTGGGTTCCTGGTCCCCATGGGCATCAGTGATAGGGGATCTTGGGGAGATGCTCCCTCTGCTTCCTACTGCTGTCCGGCCAGAAGCCACCTAAAGATCCCAGCACGTGCTCTGAGCAATCCCAGTGCTGCTTGCAGACCAAGTGTTTAGCCAAGCTGGCAGGAGCCAAAGGCCCAGATCAGGCTGAGGAAGTTCCCTTTGCTGTGGGTGACGTTTGGAGGGTAGCTGCACTTAGCTGCAGTAGTGTGGCAGCCTTCCCTGGCCTCTGCTAATAATATCTCCCAGTGCTGCACTGGGGATGATTCAATCTCCCTGTTATGTAGGTTGCTGGTGGGTGAGAAATGTGTTTTAATAAAAAATCAAGGCTTGGTGAGAAGAGGGTGCCTACAAGTTTAGTTGGCAAACAGCTAGTTTTGCCTCTGGTTGATTTTGTTCTTTGTAGTGCTTCCTTAATTATTTACAAAAAGCTTTGGTTTTTAATGATTCCTCTTTCTTTTTCCATTCTGTTTGTCTGTCTTTGCTTGCCAAGGTTGGCTTTAGTTAGGGAAGTACCCATTGGCATGGGTAGAATTGAGGAGATTTTACAAAAAGAAGAAAATGCTGTGGAAAGCATACAGCCAGCAGCTGGAGTATCTAATATCTCCTCCTCCAGTAAATTGAAGCTGTTATGGATTATTTAGGACAGGGATTATCCATTCTCTGCTAAGCAGCTTTACTGAAAATATCAAAGATGTAGGAGAAAACTCAGGTTCATTAACTTTTCTCCTGTATATGTTGCGTGATTTTACCCTCAGCTTTATTTCCAATTGAAGAGAAACTTCTGTGAAAGCCTCTTGGTTCCTAAGGAGGTCAGAGTGTGGAAGTGTACACACTTCTTGTGTGCCTTTCTTGCTTGATAGTTTGGAGTTTCTTTGCTTTCTTTAGTGAACCCTTTGCACTGGTGTTAAGAGTAGCAGCTTTATGCTTTTTTCCTTTCTCTTCTTGTTTTTCCTAGGAAAGGGTTATTCATGCTGTGTCAGTGTACAGGTGTTACACTTCATAGCCATTGGGAGTGTTGTTGCCAACTTGGCCTTTGGGGAAACACTTCATGGGCAGCCACTTCCACTTAAAATGAGGCTGTGTGGATTTGCTTTGTAGATCCTGATATGATTGGCATTAAAAGGTGGATGTGGGGTGTGAAGGTTCTGTGTGGCTTCTCTTTGTGTGCAAGAGCCATGGCAGAGGGGACATGATGTGTAGGAGGAATATCAAACCGAAGCAGCACAATCACTGGTGCCCTTAAAAGTTTGCCAAGAACCAGAAGTGTGAGAGGCCTGCCCTGCTCCCTGCTAGTTGATTTGTGTACTGTGAAAGATGATGGCATTTGTTGGATGAAACAAATGACAAGTGTGGAATGAATGCATTGCTTTGGCTTGCAAGAGGCAGCACTCTGTATTTCCTGCAAAATCTGAACATGGGAGTTGAAAAGGGGGAAGATGTGTTGGGCTGCCCAGCCCCATGCAGCAAAGGCTGTCTTTTCTTGCTGCAGTTTTCTGAATAGTGGAGATGTGTCGTATGAGCAGAGGATGTGGAGCAAAGGATTCCTGTGTCCCCACTCCCTGTTGTAGTGGTTCCAGAAGTCCCATTGTGACTTTGCGTCCTAATCTGAGGAGAGTCCCCCTAAACCTATGTCTTTCAGTTCTTGAAGGGAGGGGAGTCCATCCCAAGGAATAAAGGATTGAGCTGATTTTTCTCTAGGTGTTTTAGCCCTTTTAGCTCCTGCCAACTTGGGTTCAGAGGTCCTGAAAATGAAGCCCACCATGTCTTTGGAGCCTTGTGGGAGTACAGGCTTCTCTGGCTGCTTCCCTTTGGAATATGAATCTTTGGGTTATATTGTTTAAATCTCAAAGATAAGCATAAATGTCTGTATTTGTGTTTGTTCTTACAAAGGTGTTCTAGGCCATTGACCAATCTCAAGTGTAGCTACTTTGGAGGGTTTGGAGCTCAGTACATTTCAGTGCAGGTAGGGAGAGCTTGAGGCTATAGGATTTAAATGGAGGGGAATGTTCTGGAGTGTTAATCTAATGGTGCAAACCTCACTCTGCTGGGAAGTGCCTGGCTCTTCCCTCGCTCCATTTCCCCCAGGGCAGCTTGAAAGCTGCTCCCAGCAGCACTGATGTTGCACTGATACCGGTGTTGAGGCCCACAGCAGCCAGCCAGGCCATGCAGGCCTTTCATTGTGGCAGGCACAATACAGGGATTTGCTGTTTGTTGCTGCTGACAAAAGGGCACTCTGGCGGGTGGGGGATGCAGGGAGCCAAGGCTTGTTTACACCCCAGGTCCCCCAGCAAGCCTTGCCATGGAGCTCAGAGGGGAATTTCTGTGTGCTGCAGCTTGTGGTGGGCAAAAAGCCACTTCAGCAGTGGCTGTTCTGGGGGTGACACCCAGTGGTGACACACAGGGGAAGCCACTTTGCTCTAAGGGCTAGTCTAGAGCTGGTTCTGTGCAGATGAGCCAGGTGACTTCAGCCAGCCTCCAGGTCTTTCAATGGCTCTGCCTTTGCTGAGCTGCTTAGAATTCAAGCTGCTCTGGGTTTTTGGGATTTTTTTTGGGAGGAAGCAGGGAAGGGATCCATTGAGAAGGCGTGGCAGGGGGTCTTTTGCTTCTCAGTATCACAAAATATTTGCAAAGGAGTTGGGACTGGTTGTTAAACCATCTTGTACTCCTTTTCTGAAGGTTTGATCTACATCCTTCTGAATTCATAGGAGTGCATCCTTGGATGAGAGACAGGGATGCATGTATACATGGTGGGAGGTAGTAGTGAAGCTGAAGAAATTACAAAATACATACGGCAAATGGAGTAGAAACACATCTGGGGATGTTTTCACAAACTCAAGGTGCTGGGAGGCAGAAACATTTGTTAATTTTCAGTGGTGTTTTGTATTTCTAAATCCCTTTGGTGCACTGGGAGCTCTCCTCCTTCTCTCTGTGGTTTCGTGCAGAAGTTACAACACATTCCTGAACAATCCAGTTAACAATTCCGTTATTCTCATTATCCAATGGCCTTTTTCTCTTTTCCTTGCCCAGGGGCTGCAGTGAACCTGACTCTAGTGACGCCAGAAAAAGCCATCAAACTGGCAGCCAATGACTTCTTCCGGCATCACCTCTCCAAAGATGGGTGAGTAGGGAATTGACCTTCTGCAGTCAGCTTGAAAGACACCGACTCTTGCAACACGTCTGGTGAGACATCAGGAGAAGGTGGAATGGGACAGTGCAGTGACTGAAATATGAGTTGACCTTGAACAGCTCAGCTGGTGATTACGTTCAGGCTAAGGATGCAATGTCTAAAATGGGAAGCATGAAGCACTCCACTGGATGACTGCTCTTTACTCAAGCTTCTAAAAATAGTCCCAGATTTAAGCCAAGGTTAGCAGATCCAGAATGTGTAGTCTAAGTATTTGAGAGGAACCCAATGTCACTGATCATTGCTCAAATAGCTGCTGGGAGGACTCTTGTCCTCAGCATCCTATTGGATCCTTTCATGCTCCTTCTGGCTTGAAAAGGTATCAAGTCAAGTTCTGTAGACCCCAAACTTAGCACCCCTCTTCTCCTTTTGTACCTTGAAAATAGTTTTAGAGAGGTGGTAAATCTGAATTAACTAAGGGCACTTGCAGCAGCTGACCTTCAAATAAATGCTGAAGGAATAAAATTACTGGTTCAGCTTGCAAGTGGAGTTTGGTTCATGTGAATTAAATTTGAGTAAAAGGCATAAGCTAGAGCAGTTGAGAGGAGCTGGATCCTGAATTTTTAATGCTGCTTTCACCAAGATGTTTCCAAATTGCATGAGAAATAGTTGTGTCTCCCATCAGAGAGGCCTTTCCCCAGAGGCAGGCAAGGGCATTGTCTCCAGTCCTCAGTGACAGTAGCTAAAATAACAGCCTGCTTAGGATATGATCCCAGCAATTCCCATCAACAGTAATGGGGTGGGGCCTCAGTGAAAATGCAAAGCTCCAGCACAATTACTGGGCTTAACAATTTCCCAAAACATATCACGTCAGTCCTGGCTGCTGCAGATCAGTGCCTTAACAGCTTCAGTGGACATTGTGGACTGACACAGATTGAGAATCCATTTTTTCTCTGTACCTTTTCTTTCTTTTTTTTTTCTTTTGTTCTGGAGTCCTTTAAAGTAGCAGCTAACATATGTCTGTGTGACTCATCGGCTCACAGCTCTTCGTGATTTTCTGACTCAAGTCTTTGAATAGTGTCTCTTCTGTGCTCTGCTCAGACAGTGGGAGGTAGTGATGTCCTCTACCAAGTGGTGTGTCTCATCCCTGCAGCAGACAGCCCAGCACACCTTGGTGTACTGCAGTAAACAGCAGCTCTTTGCCACCACCTACAAAGTGGGGGCTTAGTGGCCTGTGCAGGCCCAAAAAGGGGCCAAGCTGACACACCTTGTACTGCCACTAAGGGAATGGTTCCATGGAAGAAATCAGACTAGCATTGCAACATATTTGGCATTCTGGGAGAGCAATCACTGCTGTGATGTTTCAGCCATTAAAAGGGGACATGACTTTCAGTCGATGTCCTGCACCAAGAGGTAAAGGCTTCCTCAGAGGACCAGTGTGTGTTTGCCTCAGTGCTGAGTCCAGCTTTGAACAGGGCTTTGGGTAAGTGGGGTGCAGCTGTTTCCATGAGCAGCTGAGGTTTTCACTTAGACCTCTTCCAGTTTGACTTTTGGGTCACTGGCTGGTGCACACATGACATAGATGATATGCTGCACTTAATTCAGAATAAAGGAGCTAGAGAATTTTTCCAAGAGCAAGACACCCTGTTCTCCTAAATCTTACATACTGATGGGTCTGGCACTACAGTGACCTAGAACAGGAGCATGATACCACTCAGGTAGTGGGCGGTCTTTGTGTCTCAACACAGAGCATTTTAGTTCCTTTAGAGAAAAGAGACATTGGGTCACAGTTAGGTGACAAGAGCACCCAGCAGAGTGCTCTTGTGTGGAGTCAGAGTCACTCATCTCATTTAACCACCGTGGGGGGCTTGGATGAGTGAAATCTGGTCAGCTGTGCTCTTGAGGCTAGCCAGTGTGAGCTGGACAGAGAGGCAGAGCCTTGATGATTTAAGGTATTTCTACCTAGAAACATCACTGCAAAATATGATGGGAAGAAAAATACCTTGTAGGTTTGCTGTGTCTGGTACAGGCTATGAATGTGGGATCTGGTAGTTTTCTCCCTTGGGATGCTTCTGTCCCATCCTCCCCAGCTGCCTTGGTAAGATGGGACAGGATTAGCAGTGCTGGAATTTAAAGGCCTTTCCCACCCAGGACCCAACAGGGTGCATACCTGCTGACACATCACAGGGCTGGGCCACCTATTTCACAATTCCAGCCAAAGCCTAGTTATGAACAACAAAATAGCTTGGGGTTAGAAAGGTGAAGCCTGGAGCTGCCTGGCACATGAATATGGTTTCATTTCTTGATGTGTAATTGCATGAGTCAAGGTGATACATTGGGCAAAGCACAGTGAGGGGGTTAGGATCAATGTAAGGCTGGATCAGCAATATCTTGGTTCAGCTCCCTCAAAGTCCTTTTTGCACAAACCAGTCTGTCTGCTGTGTATTTTCATAGATGCTGTGCCCTTGGGTCAGTATCCCAAAGGATACTCAGATCTTTGAGCTCTGACTCAAAGATGCTGAATTCTTCTAGGCCTGTTTACATTGAATGCCTTTGTGCTAAGCATGTAGCACTTGTCTTGCCTGAAATATGTTGCACGAGTTGGTAATCCTTTTCTGATAAAATATGCATGTTCTACCAGTATTTGCTGATTAAAATATGTGGTATTAAAATAGACCTCAATGTGCAAGAGGAGGAAGCACGTGTGGACCAGAGAGAGTGTGGCAATTCCAGCATGACTCAAAGTAGCCTCAAGTTAAACAACAGCTTTCAGTGTGCATTAATCTATTTATTTTTATCCTTTGAAAAACTTTGTGTTGAAATTGCTTTTAAACTGCCAGGATAAAAAAGTGGCATAAAGCCTGTTTTTGAAAGGCCAGACTGAAAACAGCGCCTGTGGTGTAGGAAGCTCCTGACTGCGCATTGCTGGAAGAGTATTTTAGGGACGTTATCACTACAGGTTTGTGCTAGACTCCCTTTTCCCTGACACATCCTCTGCCCTTGGACACTGCTGGGGGTAGAGCACTGGGGCAGCAGGTTCTCACAAGGGATCTCATGTCCTTGCTGGTGCAGCTCTCTCCTGAGTGTGCAGGTGTGTGTTCCTGCAGCTCTCTCCAGCCTGAGGCTAACTCAGGGAGGCACTCCTGCCTGTACCATGCTCTTCCCCTCCTTTTGGTGCAGGGAGCATGTGTGCTTACAGGCTGGGGGACGTCATTTCTGCTTCTTGGCCAGCTTTGCCAGTTTCTATTTTGATGTCAAGGCCATTATGACAGCCTACAGCTACAGCGTTTTTGTTTTCTCAAGAAACAAAACTGAGCTGGTCCTTCCAAGCTGTCCTGGTCATTTAGGAGTGACGAAGGCCTGAGTGAGTTGTGTGAGTGCTGAAGACATGCTTGCTATGCTGTGGAGGAGAGGAGGGAGACCAAGATACTGAAAAACCTGAAGGGCACTCCATGACCATAATTGACAAAGGTGATAAGGTCAAATGATTTCCTGTGATGATTTTGACCTAAGAGCTGCTGTAATTCCCAGGAGAAGAAGGTGGCCCACAGAAGACCAGGCAGGTCTTTGTTCCTGTGTCTTTCTGTGGGGAAGAATTTTCACTAGGCTGGGGAAGGCAGAATGTGGAGAGAGGGGAAACCAGGTCTTCAGGCTGCTGGAAACAGATGGGATTTTTTAAAACTCTGGCTTTTTGAAGCTGCATGTGTTGAGAGACTCAGTTTCATGGCTGCTGTTAAAATAGGAGTGGCTTCATTGTCCAGAGCAGAGGATGTGAGGAGTCACCAGGGCTAAGTGAAGTGCCAGACTATGAAGCACTTGGGTATGAAGCTGAGAAGGCAATTTAGATTGATAGTACACCAGCATTTAAAATACATCATTGACTATTGGGTACTCAGTGTGTGAGGCCTCTTTGATTGATTTAAGTATTTCCTGCTTTTTATATCCTCTTTGAATCTGGGTGTTAAACATTTCATAAACCAGTTCCTTTTAAGTGTTCTACAAAGTTTCGTGTTTATCTCCAAAGTGTGGAGTGCCAGGTAGCTGTTTTGTTGGGCATGTGTTTGCCAGGTTTTGTTCATTTTTCAGGTTCTTGGTTAAATATTCTGCCTTGGCTGCAGTAAAGTGTCTCATGCCTTCTTACATAAGCAATTTGTTGCTCATAAAAACTTTCCAGTGTCCCTGGATGAGTTTCCTGCTGCTCTTCTCCAAGGTGTTATTCCCTTACTCATCTTGTCCTCTTTAATCTTGACCTTTATTTTGTTTGTTTTCTGAAGCAAAGGCTGGCAATCTGCTGTCTTAGCAGCTCAGATTTCTAGAAAGACCATCATGACTGACTTAATTCTGCCTCTGCTGATGCTAGAAAATTTTCTTCTATTCTGCTTCCTCTTGTCTTGTATCTTTGCACAGGGAAGAGAAATAGCCAACTGGGACAAGCAAGGTATTTTTCCTTCAGTCTTATGCAGTTGTGGAGACTGGAGCTTGTTGTCCATTGCCTTCCCAAGTGATACATGTCCCCAGGGCTCTTTCCTTCATCTGCTCTTCTTTCAGGCTCTCCTGAAATACTTGGACCATCTCTTCTGTGGCATGAGTTTAAGTATCAATTGCATGGCTTGGATGATCCTTGAGCTGCAGAACACTCTTAGTCAGGCTGTAAAGTGAGGCTCCCAATTTAGGAAGAAAGAGTGCTGCTGCTAGTCCTGGTGCTGAGCAGCACATAGTCTTGTATCACCCTGCACAAGACTGTGCTTGGTCTTTCTTTGGCACTTGTGTGCCCAGGCAGCCTCTCCTGCAGTTATCCACTGGATACTCAGACACTTCTTTGGTGTAGGTAGCCCTCATCCAACTCACTGAGACTTGGAACTGGGGAAATCTCTCCCTTCCCCTTGAGAAGGAGACAGGAGCTGATCATGTCACTGTGCCAATTCAGGAACAGCTGTTTGGGGAGAGCTCTTTTATTTAGCACACAGAGGCCAGGCAGTTGCAGTGGGTTGAAGCTGTTGACATCAAAGGTCAGCCAAAAAGTAAATGCACTTTCAACTGTTAATCTGGAGGGAGATAGAGATGTGCTGTTTAATCACAGAATGCACCCATGGGAGGAGCATTGTCCTTGTCATCATTCCAGGCACATGTCTTGGGATGAAACATGGGTTGTGTCTGTGTTCAACATGCTCAGTCGTGTTACCCTGTCTATTGTTCACTTCCACAAATGTTCACATAGGAACAAAACACTTGGAATTTCCTGCCAGGGCAAACCTGATGCAGGTAAAGAGTCAACCTCCTCTTGACTTAGTCCAAACATGCAACACAGAACTCTTGTACATTCCTGGAATAATGGCTTCCAGATCAACATTTAATCTGGCATGCTACTTTGAGATGTATCTGTTCCACCTCAGTACTTTATTTGGCTTGTCTGAGGCATTTTTGAGCTGGCACTAGAAGTGAGAGGGAGTAGTGGGAACTGTATTGCTTTTACATTTCCAGCATCGTAGCTCCAGCTTTTCTGAGGTGCAGTTGCAGTAGCTTGTTCCCCCTTGGAAAATCAGGGGTTGGATTGAAGGGCAGTTTGTGTGCACATCCCCCTGTGATTGTAGCTGAGAGGGTGCTCTTCCTTTGAAGGACAACTCCTGTCTTCTGGTCTTCTAATCCATATCAAAGACCCACAATGTGAATTGTTTGCAAGGAACTGGCTCTCTCCGCTTTGAAACTCCTGGGGAGCTTTCTGCAGCCTCTTGGGCTGACAGACAGAGGCAGGGGTTATTTTATGAGTGAGGAAGGCAATGTCCAAGATGGGGACAGTAACCTTTGGGTAGGAAATAAAAATGGATTGCTTTGGATGGATGTTTCTTTAGCTCAGAGATTTCCTCTCTGGAAATGTTATCCTGATTCCAGAATGGCTGGTTCTGGTCCCTGCCCAAACACAGTAAATTCCCACATGGTCAAGATTCTGAGAAACTTGAAAAAACCCTACACTGCTCCCATGTGACATCAATATATCAATGCTGTCAGAGATCCTGACTTTGAACTGATTGCTTCCCAAAAGCCTTCCATAAACCTCTAGTTCCTGTTTTTTGACTTTTTCAGCTCTAGTTTGAAACTCTAATTTAAATCAAGCATGTATCTCCTCGCCTTCCCATTTGACATTTTTGACTTGTCACAAATTAATAGTATGTCAGTAAAAAATGTAGAACAACTGATTTCTGCCAGTGCAGAATTTGAGGCTATTGTGTATATGTTATATTTAACACTCCCTTGCTGTGATAAAAGATGGTTTCTGGATTTGTAGGATCAGATCTTTGCTGGTGTTGCAGCTTTTGAAGTTAGTTGAGATGTGCTGGTTTTTAAACCACTGGGGATAAGGCCAGTGGTGCCTTAAATATTTAAACTCCTTTGTTGTGCAGAGATGAACAGTTTTCAGACTTTCCTTTTATGTGCAGACTGGTGAGGTTTTGCAAAGGCAGTTTGACCCCTGTATGGCAGCTTTTAAACCTCCTGTCAAAAGATTTGCTTATCCTAAGCTACTTTTTTTCTTGGACTCTCCCCAGTTCCCAGGATGTGCAAACCAAAAGCTGAAAGCCCTTGTTCTAGATGCTTTTGATGTATCTGTTTGACATCTCTAAAGTACACCCACATGTGTAAATCCTTCCTTGGGCCATACTGGCATAGCTCCATGGAGTTCAGTCAAGTCATGGCTGACTTTAGTTGGCTGGGATAATGGTCCAAGATGAATATGTAGGCCAAATCTTTCCTGATCTTTTGAACTGGTTATCAAAGCAGTCACCCTGGATGAAAGCCAGAAGATATGTACTCTAGGGATGCTCCAGGGCTCTTGCTAAAATGGGAGATGCTCTGCTGTGCCAAGGAGAGCTTCTGGCAGCCAGCTCCTTTGGGTGGTTTGCTTCCTCCCACAGCCAGGCTGGGGACTGTGCAGCCTTGCTGCTGACTGTATCAAGCCACTCAGAGACTGCTGCTGTGCTTCAGGCCACCCAAAAGGCACAAGTTGGCCACGTCCAAATGGCAGTGGCAGTGGGAACCTCTGGATTTGCACACCCTAGTTCCCCCACACCTCCAGGAAAGCCTGCTGTGCACACTTCAGCACTCGTGTGTGTAACTCCGTGGGAGGGATTGTTCTTTGCAGCTCCTCATCTGTGGGGAAATTTGGAAAGGGGAGACTGAAATATTCCTTCTTTCAGCCTTATAGGAGAGCTCTATATTTAGTCACTGGTAATCTCTGTTGTGGCTCTGTGCCTTTAATCCCCTGCTCTCATATCCTCTCCAGAGAAGATGAGAGGTGGAGAAATGGGCCCAGCTTACGTGGTGGGCCAGCAGGATTACTGTGCATCTGCCCTCCCTTTCCTGTAGGGCTGGCAATGAAACTGCTTTGCTGGCCCACTGCCCCACAGCTGGGCTGTGTGTGTGCTTAGGAAACCCCTGGCAGGGAGTGTGCCTGGGCTGTGCAAGGGAGTGGGGAGTGTCACTGTGGGACTGCTTCTGCCACAGCGTGGGGGTGTGCCTTGAGCAAGTTAAGATGAGGTATTGCTGCAGAGCAGGGCTGGGGGAGGTAAAAATGGTACTTGCATTTAAAACAGAAAAAAGAGGAGGCTGTTTCTCTCTGGCTGTGTGATTTATACACACTTCTTTTTTAAGCCCTTTTAGGAAAGAGCAGGTCAGGTGTACTTTTTAATCAAGTCTGTGTTTTCTGATGCCAAGGCGTGAGATTTTTTTTTTACAGGGCAAAACCACATCACTTTCTGAAAATCTTATGAGGTTTTGTATCCTGAATTCCTCTTTTTAGCCTTAGCTGGGCTCTTTCATAGTTTTGGAATGGAGGGAACAATGAAATGCTGCATTTTGCTGCATGAGAACATGTTGCTGATAGTCCCTGCTCTCTAGTGCAGAGAATACACAAATCTTCATTGCTGGAGGTCCATCCCATCCCTTGTCTCTCAGGGAGAACCAGTTTAGTGCAAAGGCTGTTTGTTCAGGTTTGGAAAACCTTGTAACATGAAACAGCTCCTAGCCGCAGAGGAACTGCCTCCCTGATTCATATTCACTCTTTATTTACTTTGCTTTTCTCAGAGAACTCCAAAGCAGCAAGATTAATATTTTCCCTCCTTGTTCCTTGTCCTGTGGTCTGTGTTTGTTGACAATTTTTAAAGGACTAGGCTGGCAGGAGGAAAGCTGCTTATCCCCCTTAATGCTCAGGTCCTCTGCTGCCCTCTGAAGTGATACCCTTTCTGAAAGCTGTGCCCTCACCAGGGGCACCATCAGCCTAGAAGAAGCTGCAGTGCTCTGCCTATGGGTGGAGGAGGCTGTGTGCTCCTGTTTGGGGCTGTTCTGATGGGGCTTGTGGCTTTTCTGAATGTTCTGTTTCTGGGGACAAAATGAGTCTGTTTTCCAGGTCAGGTGGTGCTGGCAGAGATGCCAAGCCAGGGTTGTGCTGAACTGTCAGGCCTAGCAGGTTCTGCTGTCCCCTTGGCTGCCTTTCCTGTAACCCTCAGCTAGCCAAGGGGCCTTGAGCCTTGTACCCAGCTGGCCAAGTGTTATTCCAGGCCACCTCCTCTGATGACTCTCTCTCTTTTCTTTGGGCAGGAAAAAGCTGACACTGCTGAGGGAGATGCTGGCAGGCTGTGGTGCAGGTACCTGCCAGGTGATTGTCACCACTCCCATGGAGATGCTCAAAATCCAGCTGCAGGACGCAGGACGCATTGGTATGTGGGCTCTTCTTCCCTGTGCCCTCAGCAGGGAGAGGGGAAGGAGCTGGGGCTGGGCTTTCAAGGCAGAGCTGGGAGGAGGAGTGGAGAAAACCCTTTTCCCTCCCCCTGGTCTCCCACGTCAGAGATACCACAGATGTAGCAGGTTTCTCCTCCTCCTCCCAGCTTCCTTCCCCCCGCACTTTGCTCAGCTGGCTTTGCAGAGGCCCTTGCAGTTACAAAAGGTGGTGGATTTTTTGCTCAAAGCAATAGGCTTGGCAAGCAAAACAGCAAATGCTGTTGGTGGATGGAGAGACAGGAGAGATGAGTGGGTGGTCAGCTTGTGGGTGATTCAAACCTGGTAGATCCTGTGCACCCAAAAGGGATTAACATCCTCCAGTGCCTTTCCTGTGCTGCTTCCTCCATCTCTGTGTTTTCTGATGTCTGTTTGTAGCACCTCCCTAACAGCTTCCCAAGGGGATGTGTCATTTTCAGATGACTTGTCTCCCCTTGTACTCTTTTTTCCTCTCTGACAAAAACAGCAGTTTGTCTTGGTTGAAACAGTAAATAAAATTCTCCCAGTGCACTGGATTTGAACGAGATTTGGGATCAGGCTCCTGGGAATGTGGGCGTGAGCTGGCAGGCGGCAGAGGCAGGAGGGAGTGTGAGCCTTTTGGCTGAAACACTGTGGAGTGTTTCTGGTGAAAGCAGAGACCAGAGTCTGGCATGGAGACTCCAGGGGAAAGAGCTGCTTGCTCCTTCCTTAGTTTCTTCCAGAGGTCAGTCTGGGCTGTGGCCCCACTTCCCAGGAGCCCTGCATGACACTGTTAGATACCATGTTTATGGCCCTTCCTGGAAAATGGGCCAATTTGTCCTTTAATCTCTCATTTGATGTGGCATTCCTGAATAATCACGGATTTACTTTTTCTTTTCTCTCTTCACTGGTTTTACTGCAGACCTTATCCTCTTTGTGCGTATTATTTGAAAATGTTGGAAGGATTTAATCCGTGGTTTGAGGGTTCAGGAGAGGTTTTTGATGCTGTGAACAGCCTGTTCTCTGTGTGGCAGGAGGGCTGTGGTGTGCCGGGATTACTTACAGAGTGAGGTGCTCTCCATCTTCTGGCCAAAGGGCCGAAGTGCAGCAGTTGGAAAAGTGGGAGGAACCAGGATGTGTTTAGAAATGTGACTGAGAAACTCCCCAGGTTAATGATTGCTTTCCGGGGAGGGAGGCAAAGAACAGAACTTGGGGAAAACTGTCTCGTTTATGAGCATCTTGTTTGTTACACTGGCAGCTCAGGGACACACCTGGAAGCAGGGACTGTCCCCTGCCTGCTCACAGCACCCCCTGTTCTCTGCACTGCGGAGATGGTGTGGGACGGGCTTGGGCAAACGGGCCGGTGGGAGAGCGCAGCCGACAGCCCTGTGCTGTGGCAGCACTGCCAGGGACTGGCACAGGCTGAGGGAATGGGTACACTGGGGGACAGGCTGGCCTTTGTGTGCGGGTTGTGCTGCCCCTGTGGCTCCGTGTCCTGCGGCCTGGGCAGCGGGAGGCTGCTGTGGGGCACAGGCAGAGGGAGGCTGCTGTGGGGCATGGGGTACAGGAGGCTGCTGTGGGCCATGGCGTGCCAGGAGGCTGCTGTGAGGCACCCACAGACCGGGGCTGGTGCTCTGCTCCCCAGAGGCACAGAGGAAGCTGATGGCGGCGCAGGGCCAGCCCTCCTCCTCCCCCGCGGCGGCCAAGCCGCATGTGGAAAAGCGCCCCACAGCGACCCAGATAACCAGGGAGCTGCTGCGGAGCAAAGGCATCGCCGGACTCTACAAGGGCCTGGGAGCCACGCTGCTAAGGTAGGATGGCTGCTAAGGTAGGATGGCGTGGGCTTGAGCACAGGGCACTGGCATCCCCAGCCTTGGGCCTGAGGCACCACCCATCCCGGGGATGAGCCTGGAAAGGAGGGGTTGACTTCAGCGGGTGTGGGCTTAGTTTAGTTCGTTTTCCATGCACAGGTTTAGTACATTAAAGAAGGAAAGGTCAGAGAAGTGATGGAGGGTATCTTTTTGTTCCTGTAAGATTTAATTCTGCTGCTTTCTGTGAAAGGTTTTTGTGTGCCCCACGATCTGTATTTTCACACTGTACAGAAGTCTGTGTGAGCTGGCAGAGTAAAACTGTCAGCCTGAGACCCCAGGGTGTGCAATGGGAGCTGCGCCACAGAGCGTGTTGGATGCAAGGACTGATGCCTGCTCTGACACTCTTTGCCTGCGCTTTCACAGTGTCACTCTAGCTTTAACAAAGGTAGAGCTAAAGCAGCACCCAGGGCGATGGAGGGCAGGATGGGACCTCTTGTAATTAACAAAAGTGGTCAAAACAATTGACCTCTGAATGTGCTGGTGTCTTTGGTTTGAGTGTTGGAGAAAAGGGGGAGCCCACTGATCCTGCAGGGCTACATGCCTCCCATAGGCCTGTTGTCCTTTGTGCAGTCACTTTTGCCCCACCGAGTTTCAGCTCCTGTCTGCACTGCAGTCACAGAGCCAGGATATCTGCATTGCACTCGTGGCTGTGCTGACAATGTGTGATGCTTGCAGCCCTTCCTTTGCTCGGTTTGTTGGTGTCCCATGCTGACTTCGCTCATCCTTGTTCTTTCTTCCTTTTTTCCTGCCCCACTGCAGGGATGTCCCATTCTCCATTGTTTACTTCCCGCTGTTTGCAAACCTGAACAAGCTGGGCCAGAAGGACCCCAATGTCAAGGCTCCGTTCTACGTGTCCTTCCTCTCTGGATGTGTGGCTGGCAGTACGGCTGCAGTGGCTGTCAATCCTTGTGATGGTGAGTCCTGAACAGTCTGTGCTGGTGGCCTGGTGCCAAGTGACAGGACTCAGAGGCCCAGGCTGGGCCAGGTGAGAGGAGGGTGACTGTGCCAGCTTTTTTGCAGCATGAGCACACAGAAAGGGACAGCTCTGCTGCCTCCAGCTCTGATGGTGTGAGTTCAGCTGAGTTACAGCTTGGGCCACAGCTTACAAACAGGTTTGCTGTACTTACTAGGTATGTCAGGAAGAGAGTGTCACTGATTTCACATATTCTTGGCAGGAAAGGCACATTTCCATGTGAGGCAATAATATGCAGACCAAGTAGACTTAAAATTGTCTGGGACAAACAGGGGAAGCCTCAGATCTGTGGCCTTTTCTCCTGCTCCACAGCATCTGCCTTAAGTACCGCCTTGGTTTCTTTCCTATGAAAAACACCAGAAAGTAATTGCTCTTTCCTCAACGCTGCACATGCTCCAAGATGTGAAGCAATGTTGGAGTAGAATTATGTGTTTTAGATGCCTCTTCCTGAAGGAGATGAGCATTTGAAAATTAGTTCCCACTTTGCAGAGACATATCTGAATTTGGAAGGTTTAAAGCTTAAGTCAGCTTTTGAAACCTTGATCACAGGGAGGGAGGGAGGGGTTGGGTTTTGGGTGGCTTTGTGTTTCTTTTATCCATATGTAAAGGAATGGGTTTGTATTCCCTGATAAATATATGAAAATGGTCTGTATTCCAGGCAATTTTGTTCTGACCATTTCAAAGACATTACTCTCCTGCCTGCTACACCTCCAGTGCTCAGCGGTGTCTCCCCTCTCTTTCCCCCCAGTGATCAAAACGCGGCTGCAGTCCTTGCAGAGAGGAGTCAATGAGGACACCTACTCGGGGATCCTGGACTGCACCAAGTAAGGCTCCTCATGGCAGAGCCACCACATCAGGTGTTTGGCCAGGCAGGCAGTGCAGCTTGTAGACCCAACCAGAAGCTGTGCTTCATGTTCCCTCTGTCACTGTGCTTCTATCAATCTATCTGTCTATCTGGAGATATATAGAGAGATATATGAGCAGATGTATAAATATAGTTTTATAAAAGAGAACTTCTTCCCATATTGAGCAAGAAAAATATAGCATTTATATTTAAATACTTCTGGCCAAACCCCAGTAGTCATAACACTGAGATTTTATTTCTGCAAAGGGAGGCAATGTTGTAGTCCCTCCCAAGGCCCCACTGTTGGAAAATCCTACAGTATTGAGTCTCATATCCCTCCTGGGACTGCTCTGCACAGTGTCTGCAGAAGCACTGCCAGAGTGTGCCGTCCCCAGCTGCATTATCCTCTGATCCTTTGCTAAACTATGGTCTGGCCGCTTCAAAACACAAAGGGACTTCTCTGCTTTTGTATTTCAGTGGTAGCCAGAATCTGTTGTCATCTGGCTTTGTCCCATGCTGAGGGAGCTTTTGAGCAGGGGAATCTCTGGATGTAAGCATGGGGTTGCGTTAGCTGTACTTCTGGACACGAGCAGGGATGCAGGGATGGGGCAAGTTCCTGCACGGCCACTTGCAGAGCACTTGGGCAGTGATGGGAGATTCGCTGTGGGGGCTGTGCCAGGCAATAGAGCTTGCCCGGGTTTAGTCTCTGGAGGGAGGCGGAAAGGCAGGGCACGGCCAGGGGCTCTCCCGGCACGGTGGAGGGGTGGGATGGGCACTTAGCTCTCTGTGCCATTTCTCCCCAGGAAGATCTGGCAGAGGGAAGGGCCCTTGGCCTTTTTCAAAGGGGCCTACTGCCGAGCCCTGGTGATCGCTCCTCTCTTCGGCATCGCACAAGTGGTGTACTTCGTGGGCATCGCGGAGTTCCTGCTGGACCTGCTCCCCAGGCGCCGGGCCTAGCCCTGCGGGGCTGCCTGTGCCTGCCCCGTGCAGCGCCGGATCCATCCCGTGTTCGCCATCCCTGTCCATCCGTGTCACAGCAACAGCACAAAGGCTTCGGCAGGGCCGCAAGGGACCTGGGGCCCGCGTGGGCAGACTGGGGAGGGAGAGAGTCCCTTCCCTGCCGCCTCTGGAACCCGCCCCTCCCGCTCCTTCCATGGACAATACTTAATTATTCCTCTCTCCCTCTCTCTCTCTCTCTCTCTTTCTCTTTTTAATTTCCCACTTTTTGGTTTTAAATTGTCATTCTTAAGGACACTGGTAAGCACAGACTGGGCTTGCAGACCCAGAAGTCTCCTCTCAGTCTTGGGGAGGAGGAGAGATGGGAAAGTAATAACTTCAATCCTCATCCACTCGAGTTTCCCTTTCTACCTGGAGCTGCCAGCCATCTGAGGAGGAGCTGGAGGGGCATCTGTGTCCCCTCAGCACCTCCTTGGCTCTGCTGACCTCGGGTCAAGAATGAATGCTGCACAAAGGGGGCTTAACTCATTGCTGCTGGAGGCAGGGGTGGGGGGGATGCTGGCTCTGGCAAGTTCCTTGGCCTGGAAACCTTCAGTCCTCCCTTCTCCCTTTTTAAAAACTAGTTGGACTTAAATGAATTCTGACTGTTCCTATTGATTTTGTAATTATTTTTGTTTTAAAGCAAAGGGACGTCCCTCCTAACTAGGTGTCACAGGCACATCTGGGTGAGGTGCAGAAATAAGGTGTCTGCTCTGTAGGGAACATGTCTGTGGGATCACATGAATGTCCAAAGATGCTTCCCTGCTTGGCTACAGGCACGGAAGGGAGAGGAACTTGGGATCAAGTTATTTTTGTTTCAAGGTGGGGTTTTTTTTGGTTTGTTTTGTTTTGTTTTGGTTTTGTTTTTGTTTTTTGTTTTATTTTTTAGTTTGTTTTTGTTTTATTAGTTTGATTTTTTTGGGGGGGAGGTTGTTTTGTTTTGTGGGGATTTTCTTTAGTTCTGTTTTGGTATTTTTTTGGTTGTTTGTTTTTGTTTTTAGGTTTTTTTATGTTTGGGTTTTGTTTGAGTTTTTTTTAATTCAGGGTTGTGGGGAGGAAAAACCAAACAAAAAGAAGCCACTTACATTCCTTCAGCCTGCCCACCCCTAGAGTGATAAAGCTGTGGCTGCAGGTGTAGATCAGCTGATCCGATTTTTTCCCAGCCTGACCCCAGGTGTGTGGAAGGAAGCACTGGCTCCAGTTCTGGCACTGCCCAAGCCCATGGAGCAGCAGTAGAAATGCTGCACCTGTGGGCTCACCCTGCCAGGTGAGAACACAAGGTCTGGTTGTGCTCTGATGTTTGCCTTGGGTGTGGCTGGAGCCAGTGGGTGTGGAGGAGGCAGAGGGTTGACATTCTCTGAGCAGGGAGCTGTTTGTGAGCCCCGTGCATCACAAGAACGTCCTGTTTGCTCCCTGTGGGGATCAGGGCTGGGTGGCAGGGGGCAAATCCACACCTACAGCCTGCTCTGTCAAAGGGACGCTGCCCCAGGTAATATCACTTGTCAGAGGAATTCCTCATTCAGTACTCTCTTGGGCTGTGTGATTAATTCTAGTTGAAATGATCTTAAGTGTGAGATCTACCAACCCAGTGTGATATTCTCCGTTATTTATTCCATTTGGTGCAATCCACCCAACTTTGGTGTTGAAATTAAACTGATTGAATTCACTTTTCATTCCTTCTTTTTGCTTTATTCTCCAGGCGCCTGCTTGGTGTTTGTGTTTTGAATGTGTATTTAAATTAATTTTTAAAATAGCCTTGTTTTTAATGTTTAAAAGAAAACCACCTCTGTTTCACTGTTCTTTGGTTAGGTTTTTGTGAAATGTGTATGTTGGGGGCCTTCTTCCTTGATGCATCCTTTTTCTCTTTGAAAAAGTTGTTCTGTGGCTGATTTGTTACTTGTCACTTCGCATATGTGAATAATTTTCTTTTTCTTTTCTTTTTTCTTAATGACTTCTCCTTGTATCTGGGAAGGAATCTGTGCAAAGGCAATGATAGATGTCTGTGCTGTGTGTAGTGCTGTGATGCTGCTCTTGCTCTGGATTTCCCTTGGGTGGATTAAAAGAGAAAGGTTTATTTTATTTTTTTCTTTAAGGTGCCCCATTCCTGGCTGCTTTTTGATTTACAGGGAGGGTCCCCAAAAGAGACCCTGATGATAAAACTTGTGGGGTTTCAGCTTGCCCTTCTTCCCTGCAAGGAATGTCCTGGAAAATGGGTGACTTGTGGCTGCAGGAATGTGTGTGGGTGCAGGTTTGTATAGTGGGGTTAAGTTTGGAGGAAAATTGGGTGCAGTGAAGGGCTGAGATTCAGGGAAAGCTCTCCTTGTCCTTCAGGATGCTTTTAAAAACTTCTTTGTAAAACTGACTCTCCTGAAATCTCCAGCTCTTCTTCCGCTGTGCAGGAGCTGGTGGCCTAAATGATGCTGATTTTTGGCTTCCTGGACATGTCCCTGAGCCAGCAGGACTTAGGGAAGTGGCAGAGAATAACAGCTGTGGCTGTGCAGGACAGGTACCCCCCTTCTCCAGGCAGGCATGGTCCTGCTTGCAAAAAAAAAAAAAATTTAAATGGGAGAATTCCCATCAATTGAATGAATCACTTATTAACTGAAACCACTCTGCACTGATTGCAGCACTGAGGAATGAAAGTAAATAAGCACACCTCTGCTCCCCTCCCTGCAGGTGCTGCTTGTCCCTGGGGCAGGAGCCAGCAGCCAGCACCACTCCTTGTTCTTCCCAGTGGCAGAGGCTCCCTCCTCCCACCCCGGCCCTTTCCAGCCTTACCTCGTCCATGTCAGCCTTGTCCCCTGCTGCCACCCTCACCTGGCTCTCCTGGCTCCTCCTTGGGTTTCATGGTGTTCACTGCCCTTAAATACATTTTGCTGGATCTGCTGAATGCCCCTCTCCTGGGTTCAGGTGCTCAAGCCAGTTCTGGCTTATGGAATTTCCTGCAACAGAAGGATGAAATTTCCTAAAACCCTGGGGGAAAATTCCTGAAAAATAAAAGGAAGAATCCTGGCAACCAAGAGGAGAATTCCTGGAGCACAAAAGGAAACCATCCTCGAAAGCTGAATATCCTGGATAACAAAGGGGACAAGACAATTTCTGTAAGACAATGTAGGAATTTCCATGTGAGAACTAGGGGCAAGTCCTTGAAAACAAAGGGGGAAATATTCGGGGAATTTCTAGAAAGCAATGGGGGAATTTCCTACAAGGCTATAGGGGGGATAGCCTAGAAATAAAAGGAGGGAAATTCCATGAAAGCAAGAAGGAAATTCCCTCAAATACCTGGGAAATTCCTGAAAAGCAGAAGTGACATTGTGTAAGAAAGTAACAGTGACATTTCCGAGAGGGGAAATTTCCCAGAGTGCAAAGGAGGAATTGGTGCTGCAAAAGGGGAATTGCCTGGAGAGGATGAATGATACTTCTTGGGAAATAATTTCTTGCTTCCCAGTGTGAGGAAAATCCACAAACACTAGAGGTTTCTCTCCGAAAAGGAGGCAGAGGAGTTCTTCAATTTTATTCGAATAAAGTGAGAAACTCCACCAGGCCACTCACCTGTGGCCTTTCCTCTGGAGGTTTCAGAGGGGCCACCCTCCTTTTATCCTGAACTCCGGCCGCCTGCTGCCCTCTCCCTTTCCCCATTGGCTGAGGCACCAGGAAGGTTCAGCCTTCCAGAACCACCTCCCACCTATCCCACCGTGAACCTACCATTTTACCCTAAAGTTCAGAAACTCAGGCTGTGCAGACCCTTGTCTATTTCAGGAGCAGAACTGCCTGAACTCTGCTACACACCTGCTGCCCAAAGTCAGCAGAGACATTGGGACACATTTCAAAGACAATAACACCCAATCTGCACCCAGCAAATTGTTTGTAAACACATGAGCTTTGCTCTCACTAGGGAGTAACAGTCATGTGGAAGTTTCCCAGGAAAGGAATGGAGATCCATCCCCTAAGGAGAGGGAAAAATTATAGACGGGGATGGAGGACTCTAGAAAGCAACAAAGACATTTCCCAGGAAACAAGGAGGAAATAGCCTGCAAAGCAACTGGGAAATTTCCTGGAGAGCAACGGGGGATTTTTTAGGAAGGAAGTGGGGAATTTCCTGGGAAACAACAGGCAGTGTTCTGGAAAACCATGCAGAGTGCCTAGTAGGCAGTAGGGAGTTCCTGGGAAAAGAAATTTCGTCAAAAACAAGCTGCACATTGGGAAAAAGGCTGCAGTCCCACGCTTCAGCCCCACTGGCCCCTCCATCCCTTCCTGGTCCTTGGGTTAGGAACCTCTCAGGGAGTTTGGGTTGTTTTTGCTGCTCCCCACAGAGCTCAAAGGGCTCAGGGAGCTGCTGCTGCCCTTGACCCCCATCCTGTCGGGGCCATGGGCTGCTTCGCCTCTGCCCCGGTGCCGAGCGCTGCCCGCCACACTTTGGCCTTTGTTGGTTTGTCATTTTTGGCAGCACGGCCTTGGCGGGCAAGCCAAAGCAGCAGGGAGAAGAAGGATTAAAATAAACATCTGGACACGGCCCGGGGGTTTCCAGCTCCGGGAAGCCCCGGCTGGAGCGGGTGCGTCCGACCCCCTACGCTGCGGGATTCCCACGCTCAGTTTTAGGTCCGGTTTATTAATTTTAATTAGCGATGCTCCGGGCAGGGCCGTGCGCGGGGCGCGCAGCGGCGCGGCCGGGCCGGGGCCGGGGCATCGCTCGGGCACCCCCGGCAGCGGCGGCTCCGCCCCGCCGCGAGCGGCAGCACTTTCACTTTCGGAAGGGACACGTGATTTCCAGGAAAACGGGAGGGGCGGATAAAGTATCGGGAAAGAGGCGGCCGCCCCCAGCGCCGAGGTCACCACCCGGCAGATACGGCACGGCACGGTTCGGCACGGTTCGGCACGGCGGCTCTGCGGACCCGGCACCATGGCAGCGCAGGAGAAGGAGGGGTAAGCGGCGCCCAGGACCCCCGGTCCCCCCCGAGTGGCCCCCGTTCCCCCCGGTGACGGTCCCCGCCCGCAGGGAAGCCCAGAAGCTGCGGTTCGGACAGTGGCTGCTGAACGCCATCAACAGCGGGAGATACCGGGGACTGCGCTGGATCGACTCTGCCCACACCATCTTCCGTGTCCCCTGGAAGCACAACGCCAGGAAGGACATCACCAGCAGCGACCTGGAGGTCTTCAAGGTGGGTGGCATGAGTGTCGCCAGCAGGGACGTGGAGATCCTCAAGGTGAGCGGGGTGGGGGTCGCCAGCAGCAGCCTCAGGGTCTTCAAGGTGTGTGGGGTAGGATGGTGACCAGCAGCAAGCTGAGGTCTTCAAGGTGGGAGCTGGGGAGATGGGGGAAGACCAGTCATCCCTGGAAACCTCCCTTCTCATGGAGCCAGGGACCCCATGTTCCCTCCCTGCACCCCCAGGGCTGGGCAAAGGTCAGTGGGCGGTATGAGGAAGGCTCCGAGGACCCGGCCAAGTGGAAGACCAACTTCCGCTGTGCCCTGAGCAGCACCCACTTGTTCAAGCTGGAGCAGGATCATTCCAAGCGTGGTGATGACCCCCACAAGGTCTTCTCCATTGTCTCAGGTGAGCCTCGCCCCATGGAGAGGCTGTGTTGGATGGGTTGGGCAATCTCAGGGCCTCCCATT